AGACGGGGTTTCACCATGTTGACCAGGATGGTCTCGATCTCTTGACCTCGTGATCCGCCCACCTCGGCCTCCCAAAGTGCTGGGATTACAGGCTTGAGCCACCGCGCCCGGCCTCTTCTCCCTACATTTATCTATCTATATATGTCTTTCAGGTTGACCTTTCTTAAATGTGTTTACTTTGATGTAACTCATCTGCTTATGGCCGGATCCTCATTACATGAAGGAAACATTTACATTCTAATATAACACATATTTTGTGATTTGGCCTATTTCTCCCATTTTATCTCTTCACCCCATTTTCTCTGACTATGTCCAAGTTTTACCACATTATTGTGATATTTCTTATTTTCTATGCTGTTTCATGCCTTATTATTATTATTATTATTATTATTTTTTGCACATGCTGCCCTGACTAGAAACCCTTTGCACTGTTACTCTTCACTTGTCTATTATAAAAATATGACCCTAAATTTGCAGTGTCTCAGGAGCTTTTCTGGTAGAAATAACTCTTATTGCCTTTGTGCTGCTACTATATTTTATTGACTTGAATTGCAGAAATAATGAATGTTACTTTCTGCTTTTGTTTTTCTACATTTTTATTTCCAATGTAGGAAAAATTAGTGTTTTATTCATATTATCAGATTTTTCTAGGATAGACCCTATGAATTTGCAGACACAGCAAATGTTTCTTGAATTACTGACTGACTGACAGTGATAAATACAACATTTTCTGAAGATTTCTTTTTTCTCTTTTTTTTAATAGGAAGGAAAAGTACTACCAACAACTGGAAAAAAAGCAAATGGTATTGATATTATAAAAAGTGATCCACGAGAGCAATCAAATAATGATAATGTTATTTTTTGTGTACAAAAACAAAGGTGGTGAGATACTGAATATAGCTGAATAATTTTCTATGCTTTAATAATATAATTTTTGAAAATAATGTAATTAGTTTACATATAATTTAAAATAAATTCAAATTAAATGTAAATTACATTAAATTATAAACCTAACAAATATAAATATAATTTATGAATTTTAAATTGTAAATATAATTTAATTTAATTTATACTTTTCCTTAAAACTTTGGTGAACAATTAAACTTGTTGACCAAAATATAATATTCATTGTTGAGATATGGACATTAGATTTACAAAAAAAAAAAATGTGACGTGGGATGATGTAAATTAAGAAAGCAGCTGGCTAGGTAATTAGGTTTCTGATGAGGAAACTTGAGGGAACTCATTTTATGTGGACTGAGTATATTCCCACTCAAAGAGAAGATTAAATTATTGCTGCTTTGGAACTTACTAGAAGCAGACGGTAGAAGAATGACAGTAAACCACAGGAACTGATTTCTTCTCTCTATAAGGGTTACACATCAATGATATGTGCCTCATTCATGTTCATTAGCAAACTGGGAGGCACTTGGATATCAGAACATTGGCTGTTTTCTTTAAAAATGCTGTTTTTGATGAAATAGCCATTTTTTAAAAAGTACCTCAGAGACTGCTGTGCTATAGCATATCAAAGTGACTTTAGAAAAAAACAAACAAGAAATTTATTTTTTGAGTACTAAAAGTGTAACTGTCAATAATCATGGCTAAGATTTTGATGCATAGAAGTTGATTAGGCTGGGTGCAGTGGCTTACGCCTGTAATCCCAGCACTTTGGGAGGCCAAGGCAGGCAGATCACAAGGTCAGGAAATTAAGACTACCCTGGCTAACACAGTGAAACCCCATCTCTACTAAAAATACAAAAAATTAGCCAGGCGTGGTGGCTACATGCCTGTAGTCTCAGCTACTTGGGAGGCTGAGGCAGGAGAATTGCTTGAACCTGGGAAGTGGAGGCTGCTGTGAGCCAAGATTGTGCCTCTGCACTCCAGCCTGAGCAATAGAGTGAAACCTTGTCTCAAAAAAAAAAAAAAAACACAAAAAACGTTGATTGTTATGAAAAAAAGTCAGTGATTGTTCACAGATTTTGGTTAGAGTTTTTAATATGGAAGTCTGAGTACTTATTATTTATTCGATGTGTATTATATACATTTTTTGCATAAGTGAATAAAAAGATGCCAAGAGAACCAAAGTTGAGAATCCAGGCAATTTGAAAATGCCAGAAGCCTTCATGACTGTGAACAACATGTGTATTTTTATAAACTATTCTTCTCCAAGTAGATATCTAAACTAATAATTGAGAACACTTTCTGCAAACAGAAATAAATGATACATTTTAATGTACTCTCATCTCAACTTCATATTTTCTAAGTTAAAGGACAAAATGAAGGACAGAATAACAATTGTAATATAATAGTTTAAATGATTCTTGGGTGATTTCTTAAGGTATACCATAGCATTCTACCATAGACTTTTGACATTTATCCTTCTGGGGCCCTATTTGGTCCTGTCATTTGACATCACTTTTTTTGGTTTCATTCATCAGATTCACATTGGTAGAAGTACTTTTCTATATTACTTGTAGTCATGTGAAACCTAATCTCACACTCGCAATTTGGACTGCATGTTTTATAGAATCTATACTGTGATTTTCATGTGTATATTTCTGTCATGTTTGTGTGCTAACCAAAACAAGAGCAAAGCAACCCAAAACCTAATGGGTAACAATTTCAAGGCCAAGCAAAAAAATCTTAGCTGGATACAAATACTGCATGATTGATGGTAGGCTCTGTCATATTTACCTGTAGTCAATTATGTGTTCCTTTTCCTTTGTAGTGTCTCCTGAGCAACCACCTTTATTTATGGTAAACATACATATTTTCTTTAATTATTAATAAAATGCTCTGTGATATATACATGAAACGTTAATCATTATGTTGTCAAACCCATTCAGCATACTGTGAAAGACAAAGATCACATTTCAACTAGAGTCGTAGGAAAGTTGGATTCGCCAACTTCCAGAGAAGGTAAATTTGCCACTACAAATTTCATTCTGGAAAATGTACACGAAAATGTTGAAAATGCTCATAGGTTTTTGATTCTCACTTTTTCCCAAATGGGATGGAAGGATTTGATGTAAATATGCTAATGTTCTTGTTAATATCTTTGTTCATAAAATGATATTTAAAGCATAAGGCAGACATTTTCACACCGTGAGCTCTAGCCCAAATGCTTTTCCTTTTAAGTTGTCATCATCTAAATATCCCAATTTTGAATTCCTGTGCATGTTAGGGATTCAAGGAGGTGTATTTTGAAAATGTAAAAATTTTCAGTGCTTCAAAATGGATTGCAATACTCTTTTCTCTTCTGCATCTCGAGAAAAGCTATACCTGCTGACATTACAATTGTTTTAGAACTTCAACTGTTTTATGTCAGTGTTGTTACATTGAGAAGCTTTACTTAACCACATCTTCTGATTGCTAGGTTGAGTTTCTGCATGTGTATGTGTGTGTGTTTATCTCTGATTAAAAATGAATGAAGTGATTCATCACTCTTTTTTAACTCTTTGGTAGATACAGTGTTTAAAAACAATGATTCTGAGTTGCTTTGGCCTTAGAATCTTTTCTTCTACTACCATTCATTACCAACAGGTAACCAACAGCCTGAATTAATATTTTTTTACTTTTAAATCACTGCAATGCACATTAAAAATATTTTACAAGATACATGCACTTTCATAGATAATATGTAGAATCTGTTTCCAGGTATCAAGTATCTCTCCCATGGCTGTGTTGATTGCACCTGTTTACTCCTTAAACCATGTCTTTCTGACACGTCATAACTCTTAGAAACTCTAGTGTGGGCAGTTTGCCCGTGGGTGTGTGAAGAGAGACAGTCAGTGTGGAGGCCACAGGGGACTCGCCAGGATGAGCAGCACCTTAGCTAAGATCGCAGAGATAGAAGCTGAGATGGCTCGGACTCAAAAGAACAACGCCACAGCACACCACCTAGGGCTGCTTAAGGCTCGTCTTGCTAAGCTTTGTCGAGAACTCATTACTCCAAATGGTGGTGGTGGTGGAGGTCCAGGAGAAGGTTTTGATTGATCAAGACAGGTGATGCTCGAATTGGATTTGTTGGTTTTCCATCTGTGGGGAAGTCAACACTGCTTAGGAACCTGCCAGGGGTGTATTCTGAGGTAGCAGCCTATGAATTCACTACTCTGACCACAGTGCTTGGTGTCATCAGATACAAAGGTGCCAAGATCCAGCTCCTGGATCTCCCAGGTATCATTGAAGGTGCCAAGGATGGGTAAGGTAGAGGCCGTCAAGTCATTGCACCGTCCCTAACCTGTAACTTGATCCTGATTGTTTTAGATGTCCTGAAACCATTGGGACATAAGAAGATAATTGAAAATGAACTGGAAGGCTTTGGCATTCACTTGAACAGGAAACCTCCCAGCACTGGCTTTAAGAAGAAGGACAAGGGAGGCATTAATCTCACAGCCACTTGCCCCCAGAGTGAGCTGGATCTGAAGCTGTGAAAAGCATTCTGGCCAAATACAAGATTCATAATGCTGATGTGACTCTATTTAGCGATGCTGCAGCTGATGACCTCATTGATGCGGTGGAAGGAAACAGAGTTTATATCCCCTGTATCTGTGTGTTAAATAAGATTGACCAAATCTCCATTGAGGAATTGGCTATCATCTATAAGATGCCTCACTGTGTACCCATCTCTGCCTGTCACCGTTGGAATTTTGATGACCTACTGGAAAAGATTTGGGACTATCTGAAACTAGTGAGAATTTATACCAAACCCAAAGGCCAGTTACCAGATTACATTTCCCCAGTGGTGCTTCCTTACTCCGTGACCACAGTGGAGGATTTCTGCATGAAGATTCACAAAAATCTTATCAAAGAATTTAAATATGCTCTGGTCTGGGGTCTGTCTGTGAAACACAGTCCTCAGAAAATGGGTAAAGACCATATGTTGGAGGACAAGAATGTCATTCAAATTGTGAAGAAGTGAAACCTTCCCCCTTTCCCATCTGCCAGGTGAACCACAACAACCTTCCCCATGATCAAGCACCCTACCCCAGTTCTTCATGGCTTTGACAGTCACTGGATCAGGATCCAGGGGAGGGAGATGGAGGCACCCAAACTGTCTTACCTTGGTGTCACTGTGTATGTTGAACTGCATAAAAGACCTGGTAGGCTAGTCAGCTACATGCAAAAAAAAAAAAAAAAAAAAAAAAAACTCTAGTGTGTGCTTTTCAGAGAATGACAGTAGGAATGGAAATAGCCAATGGTAAAAGTGTTACTTGTCCTCTTGGCTCCCCTTCATCAATGCTAAACTCTAAACTACTCAGGTCACAATTTAGAGCCCCTTTGTTGATCACTATAAAGCATTCCCTGATATCAAATGACAAATAGGCCCTTGATGAAGAAAAGTCCTGTAAAGCTGTATTGCTCTGGTTTGTGTGTGTGTGTGTGTGTGTGTGTGTGTGTGTGTGTGTATTTTTTCCTCTTCTGAAAACTGTTAAAGAAGACTTTTCATTACAAATGAAAATATTTCTATTTCATATTTATTTCCTGTCTCGTGGCACTCTGCTCTCCTTGGATCTAGTAAGGATCTCAGCTTGTTTTATTTATATCTGCAAAAAACTATGCCGATGCTTCATTTTTCATGTCAATTACTGACATGTTTTCAAATCTTCACAAGTTATTTCTGAAGATGTTGGTGCATCGAGGAAAGATGGTGTCATTGTAGTAGAAGAAGTTTTAAATAGGTTATGTTCAGTAAAATTCCAGAGCCCGTTTCTCTGGAAGGCATAGAAATAGTGGTGTTATGCATAAACATAAAATAGCACCACAAGGCCTTGTGTACATAAAAGTGTTTATATCCTGGAAGATTCTAATTCACTGCTCAGTAATGTTTCCTGGAGAGGAAAATAGGTGAGATAGATTGCTGAGCCTGTGATAATAACTCATAATATGAAGCGAAAGCATAGAAACAAAATGAGAGACAATAGATACACAAACTGATGTGAGTGAAGAACATCTGTGAAACAGTGTGTCTATGGGAGAGAGGAGGCCATGGGGCTACTTTTGTGAGGAAGGAATTTGTACACATTAGTCAAGTATCTGACACAGTTAACATTTTAATAAAGAAAAACCTTATATACACATGTGTGAGAATGGGATTGTACAGATTTCACAATATAGTGGTGATGGGAATAAAGAAGAAACAAATGTAAAGGGCAAAGAATGAAGTCCACCAATATGGATATTAGATTAATGAATGAAAAAAGAGTGTATGCCAAATTGGGCAGGTATAAACAAAGAAAGCTAGCTAGGTAATTTGGAGGTTTCTGATGAGGAGACGTGTGGGAAGTCACTTTATGGGAAGCAGAAGTTAGAAGGATGAGGGTGACCCACAGGATTCCATTTCTTCTCCCTAGAAGTTTTGGACATCAATGATATGTGCTTTGTTCACATCAGTTAGCATATTGGGATGCACTTTAATCCAGAAAATTGTTTTTTTTTTTTTTCTTTAGGAAAGCTGTGTTTGCTTAGGTAGTTATTTCATAAAAGGACCTGAGATGCCCCTATGGTATATAATATCAAACTAGCTTTAGAAACAAAGGAATCAAAGAATGTATTTCTTGAGCACTAAAAGGGCAAATTCCAATAATCTTGGCAATCATTTTATATATATGTGTGTGTGTATATATATATATATATACACACACACACACACACACACACACACACACATATGTCTTATTAACCAATCAAATATGTTTATTTTCTTAACCAACCAAATATATATATAAATATATATATGTTATATATTTAAATATTATATGTTATATATATTATTTATATATCAATATATATAATTTAATATATCAATATATATAAATAATATATAATTATATATATAATATATATTTGGTTATTAACAAGTCTCTGGTGATTTAAAGATTTTGTTTAATTTGTTTTCATGGGAGTCTGATTGCACATTATTTCTTTGATGCGTATGTTTTGGCAAAAGTGGGTGAAGAGATGGGAAGAAGGCTAAACTGCTGAATCCAGGAAACGTAGGAATTTCAGACTTCATGAGTATAAAGAAAGTGATTTTTGAAATTTAAGACTAAGTATAAGTGAACTTATTTCAGATGCATTTAGAATATTTGCATAAAAGATGATTTTGGCTGCTCCAGGAACTACTGGAAACAGGAAAGAGTGCTAGAATTGGGCTAAACCACACTGACTCATTGCTCCTCTGTTACGTTGGTATCAGAGATGTATGTTTTATTGATATTAGTTATTCAAATGAGTTAAATGTGAATATGCACATATTGCCTTGTTTTTCAAGGCAATAACTTTTGGATGAAATAGCAATTTGAGGAAAATGCTTTAGAGAATAACATGATAAATATGTCCCAGATATTCTGGTACGTTGTGTATTCTTTCTCCTTGGTTTCGAAGAACATCTTGATTTCTGCCTTCATTTCATTGTTTATCCAGTCAACTTTCAAGAGCCAGTTGTTCAGTTTACATGAAGTTGTGTGGTTCTGGTTTAGTTTCTTAATCCTGAGTTCTAATTTGATTGCACTGTGGTCTGAGAGACTGTTTGTTATTATTTCTGTTCTTTTGCATTTGCTGAGGAGTGATTTACTTTCAATTATGTGGTCAATTTTAGAATAGGTGCAATGTGGTGCTGAGAATGCATATTCTGTGGATTTGGGGTGGAAAGTTCTGAAGATGTCTTTTGGATTTGCTTGATCCAGATCTGAGTTCACATCCTTGATATCCTTGTTAATTTTCTGTCTCATTGATCTGTCTAATATTGACATTGGAGTGTTAAAGTCTCCCACTACTATTGTGTGGGAGTCTAAGTCTCTGTAGGTCATTAAGAACTTGCTTTATGTATCTGGGTGCTCCTGTATTGGGTGCATATATATTTAGGACTGTTAGCTCTTCTTGGTGCATTGATTCTTTTACCATTATGTAATGCCTTT